TGTGTGCGCGGGTGGGTGTGAATGTGTGTGTGTGTGTGTCAGTGTGTGTGTGTGTGTGTGTGTGTGATGAATGGAATTCCGCAAAGGTCTGCAATTGTAAAACAAGGCTATATGTAGAAAAAAAATCTGAAACTGCATTTAAGGGTGGCGGCCCGGAGTTGTAAATTGGTTTCTGGCCCAAATACTTCACTCCACAACTGGCCCACATCTGGTTTGGCAGAGTCAAGCCAGTGCCTCCTTTGCCACTCCTGGGCCGTGTTTGGCCCACATGCATTATGCCAGTGCTGACACAAGGCCAGCTGTGCCAGCTTCATGCCGAGGGCCAGATGCCTTTGCTAACTGGGCTCCGACCAAAGCAATACCCATAAAGCCTTTGTTTTCCACAAAAGTAGCTCACGCAAATTTTACTTGCATAAAGACAATTGGAAGAGGGAGACCAGTGGGATCTTTAAATCCCACCTGGTGTCCTATCACTTAAGTTGTCGTAGCACCCTTGAATGCACGCACAGATATTTGGTGGTGGTGCGGAGGAGACAAGCTTTTTGACGCCTTAAAGCAGCGGTCCCCAAACTTTTTCCTGTGAGGGCCGCATAAGCTTTCGCTTCTGTGATGGGGGGGCCGGGGTCAGTCTGGAACAGAAAAAGGGTGACCGCAAGAGTACGGAAATGTAAAAATGGATTGTTTTCCAGAAACCCACACAAAATGAAGCCACCTCTTGACAGATGAGACTGACAGACGTTTCTTTGCGCTGAAAGAAACAAAAACAAAAACATCGTTTGTCCACTTTGGGTTAAATACCCTGCATTCTATTTTTCTCTTACCGAACCTTTTCGCCATGATCCCGTTCTCTGAGAGAGGGGCCGGTTTCGGATTTTTTTTTTCTGGCGTTGCCAGATAACGGCACAGAAAGATGCACCAAATGTCACCTTATTGTATCTGTGTTTATGAAATAGTTACTAATTAATAGTTAAAAATGAAAACGGTTCAGAACTAAGGAAGATTTTATTGCAAAAGCCCAACTTTATGATCAAAGACAAATCCACATCGATGAAAAATAAATCAAAACACTCTGTGGTATTTTCAGGGGGCCGGACCAAATGCGGAGGCGGGCCGGATCCGGCCCGCGGGCCGTAGTTTGGGGACCACAGCCTTAAAGGATGCTACGAGCGTTTGCATTAGTATCGCTGCTCTTATCTGTGACTATGTTTCCGTCTCCAGCAGAGATGACACATGAGACGACGCCATCGTCGATGACGGAGAAAGGATTTCTCTGGTACCGATGTGGTTCCTCCTAGAGAGATGGTGATTCCACCTACACTGATGCAATTGGTATTCCTCGTGGCGTACCAAATGAGTATAAGTTTGTGAATCAGATTGCTGCAGGATGGGAATCCATTTTTATATGGATTACCCCAAATAAGAATGTAGACAGAATCAACTATCTCCACTACAACGACCAGAAGCTAGGAAATTATACTGAGGAAGCCTTCCTAGCTATTAAAGAAGAGTTGGCAGCCACCTCTCTGATGGCGTTCCAGAACCGCGTTGCGGTTGATATGCTCTTGGCAGACACGAATGGAGTGTGTGTGATGTTTGATTTCACGGCTGTTACACAGTAAGTTAGCACCTTCTGTTGGTCAACGTCTGACACTACAAGCAGTTGACAACAGGCCAGTGACGCCGTCGTCTGTCTGATTATTGATGTTATTGCAAGCAAGAAACATCACAGGTACCAGCATGTTTAAAATATGGCAACAGTCTTTATAGTTTACATATTTAAGACAAAGTTTCCAACAGTACACGTATTTAATTAAATCTTGAAATATTCAACCTTGTACAGTAATTAACATTCATCAACATTGCCTTCTGAAAGATGCGAAGAGGCTTGTGGTGGTGGCATAGAAGGCAGCTAAACTCTTGACTGGTAGGCTGGAGGCACTGAGGGTGAAGCTGAGGTTTTTAAATGGGAGAAAATCATGGTAGTGCCATGATGTTCAAGATCTCTTATTATTAGTTGAAATAGGTTTAAGTTTTCTTATTTGTCAGACAACGGTCTTTTTTATAGAGAAGAAAAAAGCTCTTACAGAGCTGACAGTTTCATCTGTCATCGCCTGAGCTGTCAGTGTTAAGGCTGAGAGCCACCCACCCTCGCCGCTGTTGAAGGAATGTATCCCTGTTGATGGTGCCATTTCAGACGAGTGGGCGAACATGTTCTCACATAGCTGTGACTTACTGTTTCGGCAGCGGCAAGGGGTTGGAGCGCAGCTTAACTCATCAAAAAAGTTATTGCTTCAACAAACAACGGTTTTGGGAACAAAACACCAAGATACAGTGTATGAGACAGTCAGCAGGCTGGCGATGATCCCCTAGTGCTCTTATTGGTCGAGGTCACACCAGGAACTAATGAAGCGCCTTGTTTGAGTGGGCATGTAAAAAGCCTGCGAGTTACGTCAGCTCTTTCTTCCGCATATAGGGAAACCTTCTGTATTACCGCAGCAACATGAAATTCATCAAGCAAGGACAGAAAAATTACGTATTTGAAAGCAAAACGATTAAAATTTCTCCCCATGTCTTCTAGTTTGTTTCCACGACAAAAGGGTTTTCTTCTGCATGACAATAATTTGATGGATATTTTGAAACGTAGATTTGTCGGTTTGGTCAATGCAGGCAACATGAAAATGTGGAACAGTTCCTTTGCAGTCCCAGTAATTTTGTCAAAAGGTTTACTTCTTACTTGTGAATTGTAGGTGCCTTTATTGTCTGTGTGGAACCAGTCGAAGACCTTTTGGGTGTCATTCAACTTGACTTTAAGTCAGAGTCTTTCAATCCAGGGTCACAGCACCAATTTTGTAGTTTTCCCCCCCAGTTCTTTTGTTTATTGGCTTGAGTAATTCATTGAATGGGTGGAGAATGAAATCAACTACCGGTATGTAGTAAGAAATTCAGACCCACAGCCCCCCACTCCCCTCACCGGGCATATAATAGTGAAGAAAACTCCACTGATACAAGCTTTTTGAATAAATAACTTCATTCACCAGCAATCAATACACATTAACCAACAACCATGGCAAGTGAGAGTCAAATTCGATATAAATCCTCCAATGGAGGGACACCATCAGCTCAGTGTCGAACTTCCTGCATCCGAATATGGTCATCTGAAGCGTCATCATCTATGACGCTCCTTCTTAACCAATTGTCAACGCTTGTCCAGTTGAAGGGATCTCACATACAGTACTTGGCTTAATGGGTAGTAAAGCATCAGTTTACCTTCGAAAGCTCCAAAAGGAAGAAACAGAAAACAAGGTCTAAAAATACACATCTGGATTGATTGATTGCACTTTATGCAATGGGGATAACCATATTAGCTGCGAATCACAAATGTGATGTAAGAAGTGTGTCATCATGCTGGTCTGCGAATCACCTGAGACATTCAAGGCTGTCTGAAATTGTAGACGGCATGTTCCCAAAACAGTTGTTGTATCGACTTTATCCTGGATGGAAAAAAACTCACGTCTGTGTCAGAGGGGTCAGATGTGGTATTTGAGACCGGAGTTCTAGCTGTAGAAATCTTATCAATGAAAAACTGAAGGAATCTGTTGCACATCTCGGGTGAAGAATCCGAGCAAGTAGCCCGAGGGGGTTTGAGTACAGAATCGATGGTTTTAAATAGTACACGTGGGTTCTGATGGTTAGCTTGAATACGGTCCGACAGATATTCTCTTTTGGCCTCTTTTACTGTGATCTGGTAGTTACGCCAGCAGTCTTCCCAAATTTGATAAGAGACCTGCAATTTGTCTTTTTTCCACTTGCGACACCCCTGCCTAGCTGCGCAAGTTTTGTTGTTAAACCAAGACTCGGGTTTAGGTTTTGGGAGCACAGTTTTTGAAGGAGCCACCGAATCCAGGATGGCACGGCATGATAGTTGAACCAAGAGGTGAGTTCCTCTGTGTTAGATGAGAGTACGCAAAGGTTATTAAAGGCATCAGAGAACCGACGAGCAGTGCGAGGGTTAAAAATTCGGCGGTTGCAACTAGGAGCGTCAGATTTTACAGCAGCATGCGATAAGACTATGTCAAATAAAACTGCCATGTGGTCAGAAATCCAATTTTCAAGGACTTCCAGATTTGACACTGGTAGACCATAAGCAAGGACAAGTTCTAAAACATGTCCTTGTTCATGTGTCGGGCTGGTCACATATTGCACAAAATTAAAAGAGTCGATAAGTCTATCGACTCTTCGTCGAGAGATACCGCCGCTCGTTCCTACCGACTGCTGTCAGGCTGCTGAATAAAAAATGAATAAATAAATAAATCATAAAATTATTTAAATGATATGACAACAAATGTGAATGTGAATAGTACTGTGACTATTGTATTTATATTGCACTTAATTGAACTTATTGACCTTATCCATATTTGTATTTATATTGCACTTAATTGAACTGTGTTTTCTTTTCTCTTCTTTCTACCCACAATCTTGCTGCTGAAGGCTGTAAATTTCCCCAGTCTGGGACAAATAAAGGATATCTTAATCTTAATCTTAAGTCTGAAGAAATCCTTTGCTATTGGTTTTTCCGGACAGCACACATGGATATTAAAATCCCCTATTAGGAGGATATGATAATATCTCAGCCTGATTTCCGCAAGAAGGGTTGAAAAATCGTCTAAAAAGTCCTTATTGTATTTAGGAGGACGGTAAATGACAGCGCAGAGCACCGGGAAAACATGACCGACTTCAAAGAAGTTTGCTTCAAAGCTGGTGGTTGATGTGGTGAATATGCACCGTTTACATTTGAAATTGTTCTTAAAAATACTCACCATTCCTCCACCACGGCCTGAGGTCCTCGGGATATCCAGGAATCCACAGTCAGATGGCAACAATTCAATTAAAGCGTTGTACTCGACGGTTGACACTGGGCAGTTGGATAATGTGAGGTGCAGCTGTGGTGAAGGATATTTCCTGAAGTCCACGATCATCTCTACTGTCTTGAGAGTGTTCAGCTTCAACTCAAAAAAAACAAACAAAAAAAAAACAACAAACCAAATAAATATAACTAAATAAAAATGAACTATATTAAATACTAAATTATTATAACCTTGATTACAACTCATCAAATGTTCATTGTAGCTAAAAAAACTAATAATAATTTCACTTCGGCAAAGGAAAAACAAAGTTCAGCATCCCCATAAGAGGGTTCATATTATACAATCATTTTTGGTGCATGAACTGATGAAGCCTGCTTAGATGAGAGGCAGAAACGTCATTGATCAATGCTTCCCTCACCAATACACTTGTGTCTCTCAACCTGAAGCTTCCAAGAAAATCTTTTCCCACAAATTGTGCAGGCAAAAGGTCTCTCACCAGTGTGAGTCCTTGTATGTTTTTTTGAAGTTTCCCATCTCGTAGAATTTCCAACCACAATCACCAGTGTGGGTTGCTGTGTGACTGCTTAAGTTTCCCTTCGCTGAAAATCATTGATCACAAAGTGAGCAGGCAAAATGTTTCTCACTGGGGTGAGTTCTTGTGTGACTTCTTAAGGTTCCCTTCTCTGAAAATCTTTGGCCACAAAGCGAGCAAGAAAATGGTTTCTCACCATCGTGGGTTATTGTGTTTTTTAAGCTTCCCTTCGCAGAGAATCTCCAATCTCAAACTGTGCAGGCGAACGGTTTCGCCCCAGTGTGTGTTCTTGTGTGTTTTCTTAAATTTCCCTTGTCAGAGAATGCCCGACCACAAACTCTGCAGGCAAAGGGTTTCTCACCAGTGTGTATTCTCATATGTACTTTGAAACTTGTCTCATGAGAATTTATTTTCGCCACAGTCTGTGCAGGAAAAAGATTTCTCACCAGTGTGCATTCTCATATGTGGTTTAAAATCAAGCGTATAAGATAACATTTTGCCACACTGAGATTTACAGTGTTTGTTTTTAGTGTGCCAGGTATATCTTCTTCTTCTTTCTTACTGGGCAATCGGCCCCCGTCAGGGACTTGCCCCCCCTCCCGAGTCCCACACCTGGCACGATTCCCGCTGGTGCCTCGCAAGGTTCCCTACCAACAACTCCTTCCCACACCTCCTGCAAGTCACCCTTCTCACTCCACGACCCCCTTCCCCGACTGCTCTTCGTCCTCCCCCAAGTCCCCCTCCACGCGCCACACCCGCTCCGGACCTTCTCTCTCCTCCCCTCACCTCCTCACTCTCTCTTTTCACTCTTTCACACCCTCTCACGTGTCTGGCATAGGTTGCTTTTGTCACCCACCTTTCACACCCTCCGCACTGTCTCCTCTCTCCCTCCTCCTCATACGCCCCTCCCGTGCAAGTCCTTTCATGGCTTCTCTTATTCTCTTTCGACACAAACATCCTCCCTCATTTCCCACACTCAAACTTCACCTGTTCATCATTCATGCGGTGCATCCGCTTTTCGTGCATAGTTAGGCCCGCTCTACTCCTGCACATTTTTCCGCATCCCTCGTACCTGCATTCCAGCCCATCATTCACCCTCCTAAGCATTCCTCTCCAGCTTTTCCTCATTCATTCCCCCTTCATATCTGTGGCCCACCTGATTTTCCCATTTATACAGATGATCCATTCGCTCACTCACTCTCTTCGTCCATCATTCTCTATCGCTCGTTAATCTCTCCTACACATACTCAGCAGGCACACTCCTCTGTAATTATTTATGTCATTCCTGTGCCCCTTCTTGTGTAACGGTACCATCAGTCCCACTTTTACGCTTTCCTCCCACTGGTTCGCTCTGTGCTCAAACATCTTCCCCACTATCTTAATCACTCTTTCTTTCACTTCCTCACACACGCTCTGTGTGTAACCAATTCTCACCCCATCTTCCCCCAGTACCGACTCTCGTATCTCACTCATAGCCTCCATTATTTGCTCTCTCTCAGGCACCTCATTCATCATCTTATTTACTTCGCTCACTCTCCTGTCATCCCTTAGATCTACCGCTCCTTGAACCGCCTCCTTGATCACTCTCAGTTCTTCCTCGTACCTCTCCCTCGACACGCTCTCAAAATGCTCCTTAAACTCATTTGCTGTCACTGTCGTGCTCCGAGCAGCCGGCCTATCTCTCTTTCCTAACTTTCTCAAACATTTATACATTTCACCCATTTGACTACTGCAATAGCATCCTCTACGGCAGGGGTCCCCAACCACCGGTCCGCGGACCGGTACCGGTCCGCCGGGCATTTGGTACCGGGCCGCACAGAAAGAACTTGGCTTAGTTCCGTTTTATTTAGTTCAGAATCCGAAAGATGTTTTATTTTGAAAAACTACCGGATTCTCCGTTACATCCGTCTGTGTCGCGCTTGACACACGTCATTCATGCTTCTCCATCACGTGACCGATTAATTACTTCAAAACAAAACGCAGAAGCTCGCAAAATGAGTAAAAAAAAAACTGCTGGAGATCGCAAATCACGGCGGCCTTAAAAGTACGTTCGAGACAACTGGATCAAAGTTATGGCTGAATACTCTGAGATCGCCACAATAGCACTGTTGCTATTTCCGACATCCTACCTGTGTGAGGTGGGGAGTTTCTGCAGCAACGGTGACTAAAACAAAATTACGAAGTAGACTGGACGAAAACGCCACAGTTTTCATGCAGCTCATACCATATTATTTTGTTGTATTATTTCCGTCACACCTTAAATGCCGGTCCCTGAAAATATTGTCTGACATAAACCAGTCCGAGGGGCAAAAAAGGTTGGGGGCCCCTGCTCTACGGTACAACCTCCAAACTCCGCTATAAATTTCAGTACTGTACATCCAGAATGCCGCAACCCGCCTTCTCACCCACACCCACACTCGTGATCACATCACCCATGTCCTTAAAAACCTACACTGGCTCCCCATTCCCCAGCGTATTCAGTTAAACTCCTCCTACTCATCTATAAAGCCCTTCACAAACAGGCCCCCTCCTACCTCTCCGACCTTCTTCACCCATACACTCCTTCCCGCAACCTCTGCTCCTCAAAGACAGACCTCCTCGCCATCCCCATGACCAGTCTCAGAACCTGGGTGGAGTGGGCCTTCTCTGTCGCTGCCCCCACCCTCTGGAACTCTCTACCACAACACATCCGCAACGTACTGACCTACAATCTCTAAAATAATTTCTTAAAACTCACCTGTTCCACAATGCTTTGAACACCTTTTAATCTCTTTTACCCATTTTTGCTTTGTTTTTCTTCTTCTAAATGTGTTTGTTTGAAATCATGTATGCTTGGCTTTAAAGTGTATATTTTTATCCTGTGTTTTAAACTCTTGTAAAGTGTCTTTGAGTATGATGAAAAGTGCTTTCAAAATAAATGTATTATTATTATTATTATTATTATTAGTAGTAGTAGTAGTAGTAGTAGTATTGATGTTTAGGAAATTACTTTTGAAACATATTGAAGTATATTTTTCATTCATTCATTATTTCATTCATTTAAATAGAATCATTACTTGAGTCCATTTTGATTTGCCTACAATCAAGAACAATGTTAAGTTTGAACTGTGCTTCATGTTACAGTGGTTGCATATTTGGTTGATTTGACCTCGGTCAAGAATGCAAACAGTCCGAAAGAGGCCGAGCAGGTGATAAACCAGGGGACACAGTAAAATGTTGAGTTCCAAATTGACGGATCTGAGAGTAGCCGAAAAAAAGTGAGCTTTGGGAGTGTAGAAATGACCCTTCAGCAAATGGGTCACAAAGCCCTTGCTCAACCACATTTTCAAATCGAATCACGGAAAGCTGGCCATTAAAAAAAAAAAAAAAAAAAATTGGAGGATGATATCATACGATAAAGCTGCATAAAATCAAAATGCTGACGGGACTGGAATCAAATATTTAGAATGTTTTGACATTACGGCCCATTGGTAAAGTGAAAGTAAATCTTTCTTGAATAGGACAAAAATTGTAGCTTGCAATAAGGTCTGCGGTACTTTGGGAGTTGTATGGGTTTCTGAGTAACAAGACAAGTTTGCTGACTGTTTTTTTCCCCAAGTCACAGGAAAAACCATCCATCCCTGGTGACTTGCCATTTTGCAAAGATTGAGTTGCCTGTAAAATGTCAGTTGTTAAAAAGGCAGTTTTCATGAAGCTACTGCTGTTCTTCATGATAGCGAGGCTCTAAATAAGGCGTCTCTCATTGCTATTTGCGACGCAAGTTGTGTTTTTCCCCTGAAACGCTACCCCGTGTCTCTTCTTTTTTGTGCAGGACTAGAGAGGCAGGAGCGCGGCCAACCCATTGTGCGTCCTGTCAGTCTTGTGTGTCTCGGCCTCTTAAGTTTGTGAACAAATATTTCGCACAAATCCCTTTTAACATTTGGGATTTCTCGCCAACTAAAAAACAAGGCAAGTTTATTGGTAGATAGCACATGTCATGTACGAGACACTTCAAACTGCTTTACATCAAGTATTTATAGCATTCCTGTGAAAAACAAATAAACAAAAACCCCCCAATACTCCTTAAAATGTGTAATTTGCTCCTCAAACTGAGTCAGTGATTAGCAAAGAAAGCATTTTTTTAGCCTAGTAAGTGAGGACATTTGTCTTTCCAAAAGGGCCCGATGTCATTCGACTGGCCTGGCGATGTCGGAATTCCGTCAGAAAAGCTGGACAGAGTGGCTGGGGACAGGCAAGTCTGAATCGGAAAAAGGTTTTCACCTGTTTGAGTTCCTATGTGTTGGAGTAAATTTCTCTTCAGAAAGAATCTTCGTCCACAAACTGAGCAGGAAAAAGGTTGCTCACAAGCGTATTTTTTTAGTGTGCATTGAAAGACTATTCTTATGAGAGAAGCGTTGGCCACAGTCTGCGCATGCAAAAGGTTTCTCGACAGAATGCGTTCTTGTGTGTTGTACCAAGGTTTCCGTCCGAGAAACAAAAAATTTTTGACCACAAATTGTGCAGGTAAAAGGTTTGTCGCCAGAATGTGTTTTTGTGTGTGTTGACGATTGACTTCTTTTTGAGAATTTTCCACCGCAAACCGAGCAAGCAAAACATTTCTCGCCCGTGTGGGTTCTTGTGTGTATTTTTAACCATGTGCTGCAGTCGATCTAAATAAGTTTATATAACGCAACATACAATTTTACAAAAATTGTAAAAGTATTATTCCTGAATACTTATTTCACTTTCAACCACTCGACATGTTCAGTGGCATCAGTGCTATACATACACATATAGTTCTTATTTTTTTCTTTGTATTTTTGCCCTCTATGGACAATAAAAGCGGTATTGTGCTATGACCAAAACATAAATATAAATCTATATAAATAAAACATGAATTGGAATATTTCATATCACACACTTTTTATGCTGTGTCTTTGATTTAAAGATGACAATACGCAAAAATCTACAAAAATTGTAGAAAT